AGTTGATGAATCCCTTAATGCATCTCTGCATTCTGTTTCACTTAATTTAGCTGTAGTCCCATGTACGCAGCATAAGCCATATTGCCACTTTGTAAGTGCTCAAAAATTATCCACTGGGTAAAAGAACAAGCAAGTCATTGAATGAATGAATCCTGCCTATTCCCTGACATAGGGAAGCTTGCAAAAATCAAGTACGTGGCTACCCTAATTGCAGAAACTAGGTGTGGTTTTATTCCAATCAGCAAGGTGTGCTCAAGAGATGAGCTGGAGACATTAATGTGAAAAGCTCTGTGTATATTCTTGAGGAACAAGCCCATTAAGTGTTTTAATTAGCTCAAACGCACACGTGTGTACCTTGGGACACGTGTGGAAAAAGAAAATATGACTCTTGTTTATAGTCTCTAGAAATCTTCAACATGGTTGTTTTAAAAATACTTGCCTCACAACTGCTCCCGAGGAGTTTAGCTGTTATTTGAATCCTGCAAAGAAAAATGTACCAAGTCTTGCTGTCAGACTTCTAGAAAGAGAAATTCAAAGGGCTAATCTCAAATGTTTGGGGTCAAGTCTTGCAAGAAATGTGGATCTTCATCAAATTTAATGGCTTCTTTTTTAGAGGGGAGTTCAACCTACTCTGAGTCATGAAGAAACAAAGACAGTAATTCCCCAGCCCCAGAGAATATGTGAATCACTCCCAACTAACAGATCAACGTGCTAGGCATCTGTAATCACTGTATTAAACAAGAAAGAGAATCTGACATCTTTCTAGCACAAGTCAGAAAAACATTGTATTTGACTGCATCCTTCACCCTCAAGTTTCCCAATGTCTGTTCAAACAGACCGTATTCATTTGCACAGACTCCCCCGATTCAGACTTAGGGATCATTCATTCAAAATGGGCTGGTTAATTTCACTTTCATATCATTTACAAAGAAAATGAAAAGAAGGCAATTAAGTGGTTTAAATAAGTCCAGCTTGCCGAACCCACAAAAGCTATCATATTTTTAAGAATCTTAGTGTATTCATTACATGCATGAAAACTGCTGCTCTTAAAAGAAATGAGCGCCCCATGTTGAATGAGGCAAGTTCAACAGAGTCTCAATGTAGTCCACGTTTTTAACAGCGGAGCTAGGCTATGTTCCTGAAAATAACAATTTAATAAGACCCAGTAAAATGGTATTTCTGGTTTTTCACCATTTCAGACTGGCTTTCTCTCCCCCACCACAGTCACATTCTATGAGGTTACAGCACCTGAGCTCAGAAGCAAAAGACAAGGAGACTTAGGTCCCAAAGACAACCAGAAAAGGATGTATACACATGGCCTTGCACGTGTATGCTTATATCTTTCAGGCCCTGGAATTAGTATGTAGTATCCCGAGGTTATCATTTAGAGAACTTATTCTGAAATAAAATACACCTGTAGTCCTAGTTACTCAGGAGACTGAGGAGGGAGCATTGCTGAAAGCCAGGAGTACGAAGCTGTCAGGTGCTATAACAGTCCCTGCACTCCAGCCTGGGCAACATAGTAAGATCCTCTCTCTAAAAATAAGAATGAAAAAATCTTAGTATACATATTATAAGACTAACTGTTTGTGATCATACTTAGTACCTACTTAGACTATGTTATCAAAGTCTTTCAAAGTAATTGTAAATAGGTTCTTCACCCTCCTGCACCGTGTAAAAAGCTGAAGCCTGTTTCTAAAGTAGTCAAATTATTTTTAATTTATGTGTACTCCTTAACTTACCTACAATTTACATTGTGTGTTTTATTTTATGGTATTTTATTTTCTTGGTGGTAAGAACACTTAACAGGAGATTTACCCTCTTGACAAAGTTTTAAGCGGTCAATACTATGTTGTTAACTACAGGTAAAATGCTGTACAGTAGGTCTCTAGAACTTATTCCTTTTATTTAATTGAAATTGTATGCCTGTTCAAAGACAGACAAAAGAAATGCAAGAATGACAGGAAACAACACCAGGACAATAGTAAATCCCTCTCTGTCAATAATTACTTTAAATGTAAATGCATTCAACATTATTCATTTTACAAATAGTTGCTGTTAAAGAGAAATAAACGGTTGATGATAAATTCTAGAAAAGAACCGAGTCCAGTTGCCAAGGCCCTCACAGCAGCTGACAGCACCTCAGCCCTGGCCAGAGGGCAGGGAGGGGGCCTAAAGTTCAAGGCCAGTCCCAAGCCCCCCCGCCAAGAATGTGCCCTACAGGCTGTGAACTTGCAAACATAAAGTCCACACTGTCAGGAGACACAGTGATGGGGAGTGTGATCCTGGAAATTCCTTTTCTCTGTTTCCCCTTTTAGAAATACTATGTGCAATTTTTAATTTTTCCTAGCAGTATGTTGATAACTGTGTGTGTGAGCATGTGTATGTGTACGTGGTGTGTGTGTGTGTGTGTGTGTGTGTGTGTGTGTGTGTGTGTGGAAAACAAATGACTTGCCTTCCAAGATAGGAAGAACAGCTGTTTCTCACTTATTAGGATCAAAAAATAACTCACTTCCATTTGTTATTCTGTCCAATCCCATGAACATCCAAAAGTCAGTGATTCAGAAAAGATAAGCCATTTCAGCTGTGGCAGAGAGGGACACACAAGGAAAGACAGACAGACATCTCCCTGTGTCTGCCAGCACACCGAGCTTTGAACTCATATTGGTTTTTAAACTCAACAAGCCTCCTCGTAGAAAGAAAAGCTTCAAGCCCTAAGCCCAAATACATCTCCTCTCTTTAATGAGAACACACATTCCTTCACCCTAAATTAGTAAACAGAGCCCCAACTCCCAAGGGTGTTATCAAAGCAATTTGAATCATCTCCCTCAAAAGTTTTATTGAACATGGCAGTCATTTTTCCCCGTCAGTGTCAGGCATGGAGAAAGAACAGGCTTTGGGAAGCTGTGATTATGAGGTTGAATCATTCCCTCCGGGGAGCTACAAGCAGAGACACATGAAGGACACACAGCTCCGTCTGACCCTTGGCATTCACCTCACCCACAGTCATCTCTGCACTAAACACTGTCAATCATGTCACCATGGAGGCAACAGCACTGATGGCATGGGGTGGATGAGGGGAGCCCATATGCCCCACAAGGGCCAGGACTGTATTCTCAGTGTCCACACACAGCAGACACCTGGCCAACACCTACAGAATAAAAACCTAGGCTGGGCTCGGTGGCTCAGCCTATAATCCCAGCACTTTGGGAGACTGAGGCAAGTGGATTGCCTGAGTCTGCAGGTTCGAGACCAGCCTGGGCAATGTGGCAAGGCTTCATTTCTACAATAAATCAAAAATTAGCTGGGCGTGGTAGCACGTGTCTGTAGTTCCAACTACTTGGAAGGCTAAGGCAGAAGGCTTGCTGGAGCCTGGCACGTTGACGCTTGGGTGACCATGAGTGCGCCACTGAACTCTATCCTGGGCGACAGAATGAGACTCCAATTAAAAAAAAAAAGAATAAAAACCAGGATTATACATCTGTGGGATGCCCACAGCCCAGGAAAAAAAACATAGTGTGACAAAACCAAACTCAAGCCTTAGTTTCCGTATCTGTATAATGGAACAAATAATCCCAACCTCTTAAGTCTGCTTTGAGGAATGCATGAAGTGATGTACATTGAGCACTTGGTACATTGGAGGTAATTTCATGAATGATAGTTCCCATATTCTCGTGTATGCAAGGACTTAAGATGGAATAATTTAATCCAGACAGATCAAAATATCATCCAATGTGGTAGGGGATTATTAGAAAACGCTTCAGAACATATATCACAATTAAGATGTTCCAGTTTGTTAATGCAAATGCTGTGCTCAGTGCCTGCAGCCAATACCACAAGCTTGTGCCATTGTCACAAAAAGGTACACAACTTTCCATTCTGAAAAGCCCCATCAACGCAAAGCGAGACCCGACAGGGATCAGGGCCCAGCCTTTACTACTGGAGTCCATTGGGCCGAATGCCGGTATTCCAGAAATAAAGACAGTTTTCTGCTTACCAATGTTTTCCCGCAACACCAGAAGAAAAGGTAATAATATAACAAGAGCATTGGCCTTAGAACTAGCTGTGCCAGGATCAAGGTGGGCCAGCTGGCCACAGGTTCTTTGCTAGACACTTTTATCTAGGCTCAGGGTATGAGGTAGGGTAAGGGGAAGTGATCTCATGCCCTGTGGGCTGGGTCTACCTGTCTCCGTAGGTGTGTGACTGACTCCACTGGTCAGTTAAAAGGATGGTAGCTCAACTTCTGCAGGTCACTGGTGTGAAAACTCTGGTATGTCCACACTTGGAGATATGAAAATCCACAATTATACCATAAGCACTGCTTCCCTGTCTAGTGTCCTCAGACAGCTACAGTTTTTAAAATCGTATTCTGCATTTTGGAGTTAAAGTTGCTCTGAAGTAGTTCTCCTCATGCCCCAAATACATTTATATCAATATCCCACAAAAGGCATGAACCTGTGTCCACATGGTGGACACACACAAAAACACACACACTGAAATCACTTGAAATATAAATGATGCACAATTCTGATTGAGCTAGATTGAAAAATACGAACAGTGACCTGAACACAACTTTACTCTTAGAAATAGAAAAATTCAGACACCTGGAAGACAGACAGAACAATCTGACTCCAGCTGCCCTACACAGCTGGACAAACACGAGGTCAGATCAGAGGGAAGCATGGAGTCTGAACCAGAAAAAAAGAAGCAGCCTGCACACAGATCAGCCCTAGGAGGTACAAGACTCTTGTCCACGCCTCTGAGCCAAGCCCTCAACTTCAGTCCCTCTTTTTGTTGTTCTTGATCATAACCATACTTTATTTATACATATAAATATACATTTCCTTATATTTTTGTCCCCCTGATGTTTCTTTTTGCAAAAAGCACAACCATTAGTTTATTAAAGTTTATTTAAAGAAAATACACAGATCTTGAGTTTGATGAGTTCTTTCTTTTTTTAATTAAATATATATTTTTTATTTTAAAATTGTAAGACCTTCGAGATCGTGGCAGCCCGCTCGCACCAACCCATGCCCTCGCTCCGCCACCGATCCATGCCACTCCAGCTCGTCATGAACAATGATATTGCTGCGCTTGTAGTTCACAACGTCTCCGGCATATGCAAGGCCAGCTTTGTGGGCAACGACGTCCCCCAGGCCGTCTTCCCTTCCACCGTGGGGCACCCATGGCATCAGGGCGTGATGGTGGGCATGGGCCAGAAGGACTCCTATGTGGGCGATGAGGCCCAGAGCAAGAGAAGCATCCTGACCCTGAAGTACCCCATCGAGCACGGCCTCGTCACCAACAGGGATGACATGGAGAAGATCTGTCACCATACCTTCTACAACGAGCTGTGTGTCGCCCCCAAGGAGCACCCCGTGTTGCTGACCGAGGCTCCCCTGAACCCCAAGGCCAACAAGGAAAAGATGACCCAGATCATGTTTGAGACCTTCAACACCCCAGCCATGTATGTAGCCATCCAGGCTGTGCTGTCCCTGTATACCTCTGGCCGCACCACTGGCATCGTGATGGACTCCGGGGATGGGGTAACCCACACTGTGCCTATCTACGAGGGATATGCCCTCCCCCATGCCATCCTGCATCTGGACCTGACTGGCCGGGACCTGACAGACTACCTCATGAAGATTCTCACTGAGCATGGCTACTGTGGAAGGGGGCTTAAAAAGACATCTACAATGCCAAAAATACAGCTAAGCATGAACTCAGCCTTTCCACAGTTAAGCATGTACTCAGCCTTTGCACAGTTAAAAAGTTCCCTTCCTGGAAACTGGTAACAGCACCTTCTGGCTAGGTTAAACTGTTTAACAGCTTTTTTTTCACTTCTGTGAACCCCGCTAGCATTGTTTGAAAAGTACCTAGGCCTCCAGGATGTTGCAATTTGACCCACTTGGAAAGTCCCAATGTGGTTTGCCCCATTTAAGTAAGCCCCTACAGCAAATGGGGGCCCTTGCTGTCCAGCAACAAGTGGCCGCCGGCCGGCTCTTGGCTAATAAACCTCTCCTTTTTATAACTTGTACTTTTGGTGTCGGTGTCTGTGAATTAAGCACTCGGTTCCTATTTCAGCTACAGCCTCACCACCACGGCTGAGCGGGAAATTGTGCATGACATCAAGGAGAAGCTCTGCTATGTCGCCCTGGACTTCAAGCAGGAGACGGCCACCGCCGCATCCTCCACCCGCCTGGAGAAGAGCTACAAGCTGCCTGACAGCCAGGTGATGACCATCAGCAATGAGAGGTTCTGCTGCCCCGAGGCTCTCTTCCAGCCTTCCTTCCTGGGCATGGAATCCTGTGGCATCCACGAAACCACCTCCAACTCCATCATGAAGTGTGATGTAGACATCCACAAGGAGCCGTACTCCAACATGGTGTTGTCCGGAGGTATCACCATGTATCTAGGCATCGCTGACAGGATGCAGAAGGAGGTCACTGCCCTGGCGCCCAGAACGATGAAGATCAAGGTCATCGCACCCCTCAGCGCAAGTACTCCGTGTGGATTGGCGGCTCCATCCTGGCCTCGCTGTCCACCTTCCAGCAGATGTGGATCAGCAAGCAGGGGTACGATGAGTCTGGCCCCTCCATCGGGTACCGCAAGTGCTTCTAGGACAACTGATTAGCACATTACACCCTTTCTTGAACCTAACTTGCGCAGAAAACAGGATGAGATTGGCATGGCTTTATTTGTTTTGTTTTTTTGTTTTTTGTGTGGTTTTTTTTGGCTTCATGACTCTCAGGATTTAAAAACTGGAACGGTGAAGGTGACAGCAAGTTGGAGCGAGCATCTCCAAAGTTCTACAGTGTGACCAAGGACTTTTATTGTACATTGTTCTTTTTTAAATAGTCATTCCAAATATCGTGAGATGCATTGTTACAGGAAGTCCCTTGCCCTCCCAAAAGCTGCCCCACTTCTCTCTAAGGAGAGTAGCCCAGTTCTCTACTGGTCCACACGGCAGAGGAAACAGCATTGCTTTTGTGTAAATTATGTAATGCAAATTTTTAAAATCTTCACCTTAATACTTTTTTATTTGTTTTATTTTGAATGATCAGCCACCGTGGCCCCTCTTTTTGTCCCCGACTTGAGATGTATGAAGGCTTTTGGTTTCTCTGGGAATGGGTGGAGATATAGAGCCAGCCAGGGCTTACCTGTACACTGACTTGAGACCAGTTCAATAAAAGTGCACACCTGAAAAAATAAAAATAAAATAAAATTGTGGGGTACAGTTAAGGGTTAGGTATACAAATATTCATTGTGCAGGTACCCTTGTTGATGAGGTGTGCCCCCCCTTTCCCCAGACAGATATTGACTACCGTTAATCCCACTTCCCTGCCTCTCCCTGCTCCCCCCCAGACCCCGTAGTTTCCCACCACTGTCAATCCTTTTCTTATAGTATTATGATAGATGTTCAAGGTCCACTTATGAGTGAGAACATATGATACTCAGATCTTTGTTGCTGTGAAAGATCACTCAGTATTATAGACTCTAGTTCCATCCAGGTTGCTGCGAAATTCATGATTTTGTTCTTTTTTGTGGCTGCGTAGTATTCCATTGTGTATATGTGCATTTTTTTTTTTTTTTGAGTTGGAGTCTCACTCTGTCACCCAGACTGGAGTGCAGTGGCTGCTCCCAGCCACCGCAGCTTCGACCTGCTGGGCTCCGGCGATCCTTCCACCTCAGCCTTCCGAGTAGCCAGAATTACAGGCATGCACCACCACGCCCGGCTGATTTTTTTTTTTTTTTTTATTGTAGAGATGAGGTCTCGCTGCCCAGGCAGGTCTCGAACCTGCAGGCTCAGGCAATTCACTCACCTCAGCCTCCCAAAGGCACGGGATTACAGGCTGAGCCACTGAGCCCGGCTACATGTGCATTTTTTAAATCCAGTCCTCTTTTGATGGTCAGCATGGTTGGTTCTATGATCTTGCTATTGTGAACAATGCTGCGATAAACATACATGTGCAGGTATCTTTTTTATAGAGTGACTTGAGTTCTTCAGGGTATATTCTCAGTATGGGGATGGCAGGGTTGTATGGAAGGTCGATTTTTAGATCTTTAGGAATCGTCAAACTGATTTCCACAGAGGCTGTACTAGTTTACACTCCCACCAACAGTGTAGAAGTGTTTCCTTTTCACCACATCCTCTCCAGCATTTGTTATTTTTTGAGTTATTGATGATGGCCATTCTGACTGGAGTTAGGTGGTATCTCAGTATAGTTTTAATTTGCATCTCCTTGATAACTAGTGAGGCTGAACATTTTTTCATGTATCTGTTGGAGAGTTTGATGAGTTCTGATCATCATAAATACCTGTTGTGTAGCCACCATCCAAAAGAAGTCCTAGAATAGCTCCATCACCTACAAAAGTGTCTCAAGGCTTTTGTCCAGGCAATTCTGCCCACCAGTCCCTCAGCCACTTCATCATCGGAGATTATTTTTGCCTGTTATAGAACTTCACAGAAGTGGAATCATACAGTAGCTACTCCTTCTGTCTGGTTTATTTTGTTTCAACATGATAGTTTTTTTGGATTTATTCATTTTTTTGCATGTGCCAGTAATTCATTCCTTCTTGTTGCTGAATAGCACTCCACAATGAATATACCAGTTTATTTATTCTTTCACCTGCTGATTGACATTTGGAGTACGATCAACTCCAAATCTGTCCAAGTTGCTGCAAAGTCCATATGTTTGTCTTTCTTTATGGCTTCATAATATTCCATTGTGTATATGTACCACATTTTTTTATCCAGTCCAGCTTCGACGGGCAACATGGTTGGTTCCATGTTTTTCCTATTGTGAATAGAGCTGCAACAAACATACATGTGCAGGTATCTTTTTTGTAGAATAATTTGAGTTCCTCAAAGTATATTCCCAATAGGGGACTTGCTGGGTCATATGGAAGGTCAATTTCTAGTTCTTTCAGAAATCGCCAGGCTGTCTTTCAGAGAGGTTGCATTAGTTTGCATTCCCACCAGCAGTGGAGAAGCATTCCTTTTTCTCCGGATCCTCGCTAGCATCTGTTGTTGTTTGTTTTATTAATGATGGCCATTCTTACGGGGGTTAGGTGGTATCTCAATGTGGCTTTAATTTGCATTTTTCTGATGATGAGTGAGGCTGAGCACTTTTTCATGTGTCTGTTGGATGCCCACATATCTTCTTTTGAGAAGTGTCTATTGATGTCTTTTGCCCACTTTTTAATGGGGCTGTTTAATAATTAACAGTTATTAATTATAATTAGCAATTATAATACTATAAGAAAGGGATTGACAGTAGTAGGAAGCTTTCAGGGGAGGAGAGTGGGATTGGCAGTTGAAGGAAACTGCTAGGGGAGGGAGGGGCATATCTCATCAACAAGGGTACCTGCATAATCAACATTAGTATACCTAACCCTGAATTGTACCCCACATCCTTATAATAAAAAAAAATGAAAAGTCTTCTTTGTCCCATCAGAGCAATGGTAGAAGAATGCCAGCATGCACGCAGGAATTGGGCTAAGAATTAGGCTCCCGTCCTTCTTGACTTCTGTTGCCTTAAGAGGAGGACTCTACAAGCATGGCATGCTCATGTGCCCTGATGGGGCCAAGGTCCATCAACACAGTATTGGGGGAAAAATATATATACACACATATATACATATTATATATGTGTGTATGATGTGTTTATGTATACACATACATATATCATCATATATATTATGGTCTATTAAAAATTATATTTCTATATGTACTTACATATTTCATATAATACAATATTAATAACATATTATAATACACAACACATATGCATCCTGGGTTCTAAAGGTCAAAAATACATTAACCAAGAGTATGTCTGTGTGAGGCAGGGGTAAAAAATCCTAAAACATCTCCCATATAATGAGGAATCAAAAGAAATGGCTTCATTCTTACCTCTGATAAACAGAGATAGATATATAGGATCACAAACCGCCATTTAAATGGAAAGATAATTACTAATGGAGATAATAAAGGCAAACAAAACATTGTCCAAAAAGTCAAAGTCTGAGGACAAAGAGAATAGTAACACTACGAGGAAGAGAGGGAAAAATAAGATGCTAGAAGATCATTCAGATTACTTAAAACAATTCATATATTAATAAACTGAAAAATGTCTTTAAGATGAGAACTCCCTGGACAAAAACAAATCCATTATGTGATCAGGAACATATGTAAATTGGATTGTAGGCTAGGTGAAAAAAAAGAAAAGAAAAGTAAACACTGAACTCAGCCTCACCACCTTAGATAACAGTAGGATGAGAGGCATGCTGAAGTTTTTGGAGGTGTGTGAGTAATGGAAGAGACACTTATGGCTGCCAGGTGAAGTCCAAGAAGATGTGCTAGATATGTCCAGAGGATGAAGCTAAAAACAAAGGAGCTGATCCAGGAAGCAAGTTTAGGATATCAACTAGAAAACTAACTTGAGGCTGGGCTCGGTGGCTCAGCCAGTAATCCCGCGCCTTGGGAGAATGAAGTGAGTGGATTGCCTGAGCCCGCAGGTTCGAGACCCGCCTGGGCAACTTGGCGAGACCTCATCTCTACAATAAATCAAAAATTAGCCAGGCATGATAGCGCGCGCCTGTAGATCTGGCTACTTGGAGGGCTGAGACGGAAGGATCGCTGGAGCCCAGCAGGTCGAGGCTGCGGTGGCCGGGAGCGGCCACTGCACTCCAGTCTGGGCGACAGAGTGAGACTCCAACTCAACAAAAAAAAGAAAACTAACCTGAGAAGAAAAAGTTTTAAGAGGGCTGGTGGGCAACCCTCTCCAACCCATTGTGGGAGCTTTTCTGTCCTCTCAATAAATTCTGCTTTCTAAAAAAAAAAAAAGAAAGAAGAAGGAGGAAGAGGAGGAGAAGGCTGGTGAAAAATGGAACCAGCAGAATTCCCCCTGAACTTAGAAGGATTAACATAAAGAAAGAGTGTCCTTGGCTTATCCATAAAAGACAGGAGGTTGAGAAACTGAGTTAAGGGTGTACAGCTAGGACTATTCATTTGACCCAAAGCATCACTGAAGAGAAAAAGCATTACATAGGAAAAGACAGCCATTATATATTGATAAAAGATAACTTTAACAATTAATATAGACTATCACAACATCAGAGAGACTGGGGACTAAATAACATTACTTCAAATAATTGCAAAATTGTTGGAAAAAAGAGCAAATGGAAAAAACAACTCTTTCCAATGACTGTATTTCTTTATATATTTTGACAGGTCAAGTTTAGAAACCTATACAAAATAACATAATTCATTTGAATATATAAAATTGAACTAATAGACGTATATATGACACCTATAGGATTTATGAGACACTATCAAGCAAACCAATATACACATTATGGAAGTTTCAGAAGGAAAAGAGAGAGAGAAAGGAGAAGCAAGCTTATTTAAGGAAACAATAAACAAAACTTCCCAAACTGGGAAGGAAAATAAACATCCAGTCTCAAAAGCACATGGAATGCCAAATATCCTGAATATAAAGAGGTTTACACTGGCAAACTTTACAATTAATTTGTAAGAAGACAAAGAAAATTTTGAAAGCAGAAAAAGAAATGTGCCTCACCATATTACAAAAAAAAAAAAAAAAAAAGACTGGGTGCAGCAGC